GTTTTAAAATACTGAATGCAGCTATTTGAAAAGAGAAAATTGCGCATATATAAGTTTACTTTTCTCACAGAATAAGGTTCCATTTGTAATTCTTGTAAAACACTTCCGCAAACGTTACAAATGTAATAAACCTATTTTTGGATATTAGCTAAGTTCGTTTGAACTTCAAAAACATGTCAATTTCATTGTCTAAACATGGCAGGGGGCGTAACAAAACGTACGTTTTGAAATGGCAAACGTAACGTTTTGAAACGTTAAACCTACGTTTTGAAACGTGAAACGTACGTTTTAAAATCGCACGCCGCAAGCTTGAACGCAAATGGTAGTATTTTACTCATTTTTTAAATGGGCCGTTGCTGGACCCGCGCTGTTGACGTTTGAAAATGACGAATTCGTAATCTCATTGGCTGTCACAACAGCGAGAATAAAAAACAGCCAATGAGGTTACGAATTCGTCATTTTCAAACGTTCTTAAAAGTCTACAGCGCGGGTCCAGCATCGGCCTATTCCAAAAATGAGTAAAATATCAAAAACTTTTCGCATTTTTCTCGCTTCTATAACTTGTTTTCAAAGTTAAAACATAGGAACTATATAGTAAAAATATTATAGATTTCGTTTCACTTGTTATTTTAGATTAGTTTTAGGTATTAATTGACATATTTTCGGATTGTTTTCATGTGTACATCTCGATATTGTGATTGAAGTTGCATACCTTAGGATATAATTTGTAAAGTTTTTAGAATGCCTTTGTTTGTTCTTTAAAAGAAAAATGTTTAGATTTCTGATGATTTATTATACGAAACTTTAATATGAAGTTGTATTTATGTTGTAAATATTGTAGATTGGAGATAAAGTAATAAAATTTTGCTCAAATTTTTGTATGATTCTTTATTTCTTTTCGAATATTATATAGCGGGATCCTGAAAACGGGGTTATTTTAACCCCAAAATAGGAGTTAAATGTAACCCCCAAAATGGGGATTAAAATTTAACTCCAGAAACGGTGTTATTTGTAACCCCAAAAAAAGGATTATTTTCGATTAAATCTCGTAACCCCTGTTTTTGGTGTTAAAATAACACCCTGAAAATAACAGTGTATGTAGGATAGACCTTTATATATATAGACCTATAAACAATATAGACCTTTGCATTATATAGGCAACTTTTTTCCCAATTTCACGAAGGTATCACTAAAGGTGCAAATGAAGAATTCGTGCTAGAAAAAAGTTATTGCTTACCTTGTTTACCACGGTCTTTACATGATATCTGTATATCTTTATCGTTGTTACCAAAAATACCGCCTATGCAAATAGTAAAAAACTTTCAAAACAATTGTTCAAAATATATTTTATAACAATAAAAATAGAAAAAAGTTCCATTTCAGTGTCGTTTGACAGCAAAACTCAAACAGATATATCAATGGGTCATGTTCGATCGATTCATTGATTGAAACATCATTTTTTAACTTTGCAGACACCTCTATTTACCTCTGTTCTCTATGTGACGTTCATTTCCTTGTTCCGTAATTTTCATCCGATCCCCACGTGGTCCTTGATAAATATGGAAGGTGAATGGCGGAGGCTTGTGTGCAGTCTCTTGCAAAGCTAAATAGTTTTTGTAATATTTCTCCTGGATTTTCTTTCTCCTGTTAAAGTAACTATATATGGTATCTTCATTCCTTTTTAGATTAGCTGACTGCCGTGATGGTATGATTTTTTGGTCGGCATTATACCATGGATTTCGAAAGCTTGAAGGTATATCGTTGCTGAAGAAAGGATCCTGATAATTTTTTTTCTGTTTATTGTTCTGCTGCAAGTCTTCACCCAAAGAAGAAATATCAAACGATTGCGTAAATGGTCTCGAATTCTGTACGTTCATTAAACTTGAAAAACTTCTAAAATCGTTTTTGCGTGCAGTGTATTGTACTGGGAAATAGATATCACTGCGTTTGACGTTCGTGTCATTATCTACTGCATACTTGTTCATTTTTTCCGAATTGGCAAGAATTTGTGCATTTGACGATAGTGGAATGAAATAAGGACTTTTTCTAGGTTTTGCAATCTTTTTAAAGGAATGATAGAAGTCTTTTCTATTAGGCAATGAGCTCTTTTTATAAAATAACCCACTGGAATATCTATTTTTATCCATAAGTCTATCATCGATAAGAACATCGATAAGTTCTATGAATGAATAATTTCCCTTTGAGGTGTTTTTTGGCATCTTTGGTGAAACCGTGCGCGTGACTGCATTGACATCCTTCCTCTTTGTTGCATTTAATATTCTAGGTGTTTTAGACTGATGGCCATGGTGTTTTAAAATTACTTTTCTAGAAATTTTTCTATTGCTTGTTGATGTTTTTTGGTCGATATGTCTTTCGTTTTTGTCCTGGTGCATAAAATTTTCAGTCAATCCCCCATTTGATACTTGCAAAACGTCTTTCAATGCCATTTTTCCAGGATCTGCATTCCCAAAAATATATTTGTGAAAAAATTCAACAATTGAACGTACTGAAATATTCAAAATTTTGTGCAATAATGAGTGCTCCTCTTTGGTTTTATGGCGTTCTGATTTACTTCTTTCATTTGTGTCCTCTGTAAAAACTTCAGGAAAGCTATTTTTATTTTCCACTTTGATTTTTCTGTGTAATTTTTCCAATAGATGATGTTTTTTTCGAAATTCACTTGCCAATTTGTCATATCGACTTTTAGTTTCAATATAACCGCTTTTGATATTTCCTCTAACTGGTCTTTTCAAATTGTTTTTCTGCTTTCTCTTATGATGTTTTGTTGTAAAAACATCAGTCACTCTTATTTTTTTCCCTTGATTTGGTGTGGTTTTCCAATTTGTTAACAAGGATGTTTCCGGATCATGCCGGTGGTAATCTTTGCTGACTACTTTTTTTCCATTTCCATCCCATATTCCATCAACATCAGCATTTTCGTCATAGTCATTCTTCTCTGGTAAAAAGTAGTTATATGGTTTGTCATAAATTCCATCAAAATTATCCAAAGGGTTGTATTGAAATGCAAAATTACCATCTAACCAAAAAGGAAATCCTGTCTCCTTATATACTGACAGAGCAGTTTTATCTCCTTCAAAGCGAATTTGATTATCTTTGACATTTCCAATAGTATTAAAGACCTTTTTTCTCAATTTCTTTCTGATATTATGTTTTAATATTCTTGTACTTCTTTCTTTGATGTTACTAAGGTTTCGAATTCTATACACATTTTTTTCATGAGTTGTTTTTGTTATCACTTTGCTGCTTTTTAATTGTCTGACTTTTTTTGCTAATGTTTCTTCAATTTGGTCATCTGTTTTGTTGCGATAAATTCCTTTTTTTGTGGCAGCAACCTTCAAAGTTCTTGCCAAATCTTTGTATTTTTTAACAAAATGTTTATTACTACTACTTTTCTCATCGTTGCTTGTATCCTTCGTGTAAGGATCGAACTGGCCAAGTACAAACTGACGGAGTAGTTTTTTGCGTTCAATTTTCCTGTGCGAGATCTTTTTATGTTTAGAAGCGTACGTGTGTGGTTTTTCCAAAGAATCCCAGTCAAATACAGATGTTCGTGGATGGCTGGCTATGGATTTGGCTCCTAATAACACATATGAATAAAAAAACAGAAAGGACAATTAATATTGACCTGCGCTTGGATTTCGCGCGGGGTGATTAAACAAAGCAATAACATGAAGTAGCCAAACATTAAAATGGTTGACTGCTGCTATAGCTTTTGAAAATGATTAAAGTGCCTATATCACTTGTGGGATCTTCACGGATTTGAATATAGGGCTTGAAAATTTTGTTTATAAGTTCTACAACCTTTTTTGATAAAATTAAATAGTTTCGAAAATACGTCGGTTGGGGGGACTGGGACTCAGGAATGATTTGCAAACACGCCGTCTTTTATAATGTAAACATGAAAAGTTTCACTGGCGATATAGTTTGCGCTTTTCAAGAAAAAAAACGGGAGAGATGTGTTGTGTATGGCTGTAGCAACTGGGCGAGTTTTTCTCAATTGGAATGTTATTGGAAGATCGAAGTAAAATTACAATTGATTATATTATGTTTGACAAGAATTCGGTTTCTATGTCCCAGGCCCCGAGCACGATGGAAATTTAGACAAATCGTCATGTTTAGATGTAAATATTTCTGAAACTATTTAACTATATCAAAAAGGGTTGTAGAACTTATAAACTAATTTTTCAAGCTCTATTCAAATCTGTAAAGATCCTACAAGTGATATAGGCACTTTAAAGTTAAACGTGATTAAAGTTAAAACGTAGTTAAAAGAGTTTTATACAACCGATCCATGCTAAAGATTTGTTGGTTTTAACCTCTGATGAGATTATACTAGTATATGCATCAAGCAACGGAGGTATTTCAATGTTTACACACTACAGTATAGTATACATGCTATCACGTCGCTCGCATACCCCGCCGGCTATTTAATTTTTTAGCCTAAATCAGCAATATGAAACCTCTCTTTTTATTCCTGAAAGTGTGACCGCAGTATCTTTATAAAGTTCTTTCAATCTAACAATCGGACTCACATTTTCCACGATGTGTGGTTGTCGGTTGTCATATTCGTAAATGAAACTATACGAAAGTACACTGTTAAGCGATCAGTCTTTTATGGGCGGACAGCTCAAGAAATGTTTGTGTGTTGATTGTTACAGGTTTTTTACAACCATTATTTTTCAAAACATTTTTGCTACTCTTACCGCTTTTTAATATATCTTCCGCTGATACGGCAAAAAAAATTACAATCCATCCGATAAACACTTTTAAACTGGGAAAATGCTTGGTAAATTTGTAATTGATATTCATCTGATTTCAACGGTAATCATAAATCTAAAAGAAAAAAGGCTATCAGATTAACAAATAATACGCCTTAGTTGTTAGAGATGTTAGAAGCTTTGATGCTGTCCGCATATAAAATTAACAAGTTTTATGTTATATAAACATAAAAAATTAATAACATTAATAAATAAATTTTTATTAACCTCGGTTGCTCGCGGTCTTTACCGAGAAATATCGGACCAAGGTCTTTTTGTACAGACCAAGCTCGAAGAGCGAGTTGGCATTAGACATTTGAAAACAATAACTTGCAAATCTTATCGACCATGAAAAATGTCATTTTTAATTTTTTGTAGTAATTTACACATGAGACATGCAAGCGTGCGTGTATTGGCCAAAACAACAATAATGTAAATTGAATAATAATTCAAGACGTTAACATGTTTTTAATCTTCATCGTCGCTTTCAATAACGATTCTACGCTTTTGTCGATCTTGAACAATCTTGAAAGGACCATAAAATATTTGAGACTGGCAGTTTGAAATAATCGCCCCTGGAAAGATACCTTGTTCGTTTACGGTATGGTTAGTTTCTTGTTGATTTACAGCAAGGGCATTTCACGTCCTGTTCACAAACGACGTCCAGTTGTGCTGAGTTGAGGTTCGTCTTTGAAAACAGGCATTCCCATGGCTTCTGAATTTCGTGAGATGATTATGAATCTGATCTGACCATTTCGAGAATTAAGTTCCAGGTTGGAACTTGTTTTGAGCACAACTTAATATTACGTTTTAATGTCACTTTGTGTCTTTTTAACCTGATACGCACTCTTTTGACCTGTTACGAAACTTTCTATCTGTTCTTGGTTGCTGTTTCTCTTACATCTACCTTATCTGACTACTGTATTTCCCCACAACAGTTTGAGTAAATATGAATTTTTCGCAGTGAGTATACTAGTACGCTTCAAACATTTGCTTTGGCCTTGGAGTAAATTTTGTTGTTTACCTTGTAATTTTGACACACCGATAGAGTGATAGTCCTTTTTTGTGCCGATCGTCATAGAATGAGGCAGTTTTTAAAGATTTTCTTCCTGCACGAAAAGCGCGTATTTTGAAACTCGTATGTTTCGGATAATTTTATTTGCAAGTTACTGTTTTTATCGAAGATGGCTTTCTATATATCTTTTCTCTTGAAACTGAAATTTTTTAGTGTATTCTTATAATGATCTCACTCCTTGCTCCGATTTGTATAACTGTATATTTTGTTTCTCTATATTATATATATTACTTTTCATGTGCTCTTACTTTTCTCGCTCTCATACACTTTTTATATTATTGTCTGTCTCTAACTGTCAATCAGTTCTCATTCTATTGTCCAAGCTTAATTATCTATAAATAGCAGTTATGTATATTACATCACCCTTTTTTTTTTTTAAACAATATTAACATTTAACAAAACATAATTCAATCATATACTGAATGTCCAAATCTATCAGGTTTTCCTCTGACTCGGCTCGATCGTCGTGTCGGTATTTGATCTTGATGTCCAACATTTGTTGTTGCTGGTAGTGTGATGGTATTGTTCCTCTTTTGATGACGTTCTTTCTCATTATCGTCATCACTGTCCGTATCATCCCTTGGCTTTGGTATGCGTTTAAAATGCGACACATTTCGTGTGATAACGTGTCCGTTCTTGCTTCTTGCTTTAACCTGTGAATGCGATCTATGTGTGACTACGTATGGAACGTTGTTGTAATTCGCAGTCAATTTGTTCTGCTTGTCCTGACGAACTAAGACATAGTCTCTTATCTTAGTTTCACTCTCTTTTACGTTTCTTTTTTCATTCGCATATTCTTTGTTGTATCGCTTTCTCTCCATTTCATTCTTTTTGGCAATATTGTGTTTGTTAACAATGTTCCTCTTTTTCAATTCTGGAAGCTTTCCTTTCACTGTACGGTTAAATAGTAATTCCGCTGGTGGAACTTTCGTGGAAGAGTGTGGTGTTGTCCTGTACTGTAACAAGAAACGATGTAGCTCTTGCTGCCAGGGTCTTCTTTCAATGTGAGCGGTTCGTAGCGTTTTTCCAAGGGGCTGCATGAATCTTTCCGCTTCTGCATTTCCCTGGGGCCATTTAGGTGTTGAATGAATATCTTTAATTCCAAGAGCTGTCAAATAACGATTATATTCTGCACTATTGAAAGGCGGTCCATTGTCTGTCTTGATAATTGTTGGGATGCCATGACGGGCGAACATTTGATCTAATTTGGGTATGACCACAGAAGCTTTTGTCGAGCGTACTACTTCCACTTCGGGATATCTGGAATAGCGATCAATTGCTACCAGAAGGTATTCTCCCGAAGGAAGTGGTCCGTAGAAATCCAAATGTATCGTTTCCCATGGTCCCTTTGGCATTGTTGTCGTTGATATTGGCTCTTGTGGTGGTGCTTTACCCACTGCCTGACAAGGAATGCACTTCTCGATTGTTGCTTGTACCATTTTATCAATATTCGGAAACCAAATCTTTTCTCGGATTAATGATTTCGTTTTGGTAATGCCAAGATGGGTTTCGTGCGCAATGTCAATCGCACGTTGCTGTAGCGATTCTGGTATCACTATACGAGAACCATAATGAATGTCGGTCCACACGAAAGGTGTATTTTTCTTCGTTAATTGGCGCAATGGAGCTGTAATGGTTGCAAATTTCGGAATATACTTGGCACTGTAGTTTGCCATGCCGAGGAGACTTCTTACTTCAGAAATGGTTTTGGGTACCGGCGCGTTCTTTAAAGCTTCTACACGTTTGGGGTCAGGTTTGCTGCCGTCTTTGGAAAATACTTGTCCGAAAAATTCCAGTTTGTCATTCAAGAAGCTACACTTAGCTTGATTCAAGCGTAGTCCTTTGTCGGAGATTCGTTTTAGACATTTATTCAAGTTTGTGTTATGTTCTTTCTGTGTTTTGCCATATACTAAAATGTCATCAGCTATATTCTTTACTCCGACTAATCCTTGCAATTGGGTTTGTAAAGTGTACTGGAAAATCTCAGCAGCTGCATTGGTGCCATAGTTCAGCCTTTTGTATCTGAAAAGACCGATGTGTGTACTGAATGTAGTAATGTAACGACTGTTCTCGTGTAATTCTAGCTGATGATAGGCCTGTGTAAGGTCTAATTTGGAAAAACACGTTGCTCCATTTAACTCAAAGCTGATGTCCTCAACTGTTGGAATAGGGTGTCGTACCCGTTTTATAGCTTCGTTGGCAGCGCGCATATCGACGCATATACGAACGTCCCCGTTCTTTTTCGGTACTGCTACAATTGGCGATACCCAAGGTGTAGGTTGGTTTTCTGGTACCCGTTCAATAATATCGTCTTTCTCTAGTTGTTCTATCGCGTTCTGGACCTTCTGACGTATGTGATAGGGAATTCGGCGTTGTGGCTGTGCTCGGGGTGTTGTTGTTTTATCAACGTTTAATTTGATTTTCTCTTGCTTGATTTTACCCAACCCGTGGAAAACTTTTGAATGTTTGTTTAGAATATTTTGGAGTTCACGATCTTTTGTTTCAGTTACTTTGTTAAGATGAAAACTTACCAGACCAAGTTCCTCTGCCGTTGTTGCTGATATTAGATTTCCGCTGTCTGTCGTTTCTGCGACGTAAAAAGTTGCTACTGCAACTCGACGGCGAGTCTCAATAGCTTCCTCAAACTTGCTAATGAACTTTACTGGCTTGCTAGCAGTATACGCAAACGCTTTTATGTTCGTTTTCTTTAATTCTATTCCTGGTATTTTCTCATATGTACCTCGGTCGATGACATTGATCGTTGCGCCTGTGTCTACGGTAGCTTTTAACGATCGTCCGCATACTTTAACATTGACTTTGGGGGTCTTGTCATTAGAAACTGTGTATAAATATTCGTTGTCAGAACTGTCCGTCTCGCTCTGAACTTCATTTAGTGGATTTAGTGGTCGTTTGTATTTCTGTTTCGGTTTCGTTTCATGTTGAAAAGCTTTTGTCTGACGTTGCATCTTTCCTTGACACACTCGAGCAAAATGGTTGAGCTTTTGACATTTCCGACATTCTTTACCTTTAGCTGGGCATTGTCCTTCATGAGGATACGTACCACCGCAATTGTGACACGTTTTCGATGTTGTTTTCGATGATACTTTGTTAACACGATCTGTATTTGTGTCTTTTGATTCCATGTCTCGCGCTTGAAATGTACTCATCTCGGCACGGCGACCATCGATGAGTATAGACTTCAGATCGTATGTTGGGTCTCCTAATGCCTTTTTCCGAATCCGTGAAGATGACCCAGCCGTAATAATTTGTTGTTCGATTTCAAAATCTGCGTTGTGGAAAGAGCAAGTCTGTGCTAACGTCCGTAATCGTGTATGGAATTGATCAAGGGTTTCGTTCGGTTCTTGTTTCGCTTGTCTAAAGCGGTAAACTGCATGCGTATCGGCGATTTTCTTGCGGTTGGAAGTATTCGTGAAGCTTTGTTTTCGCGGCTTCGTAATCAGTTGCGTCTCCCGTATCAGGTATTTGTCTAAATATCTCTCGAACCCGTTTGCCAGCTTGATATAATAGCAATGCGCGTTTTCTTTTCTCATCCGTAATCCCACTAGCGAGGATGAACATCTCGAAATCTTGGATCCAAATGTTCCAGCGCGTGCCTAAGCTTTCGCCAACATCAGCGTCTGGGTTAAACTCTGGCAATGGTTGTAGCGAAACCGATTGCGTATTTACTGTGATATTTTCTTGTGGCTCGGCTTGTCCTTCAGCCATTCTCGTCGCCAATATAATGATCTCACTCCTTGCTCCGATTTGTATAACTGTATATTTTGTTTCTCTATATTATATATATTACTTTTCATGTGCTCTTACTTTTCTCGCTCTCATACAGTACACTTTTTATATTATTGTCTGTCTCTAACTGTCAATCAGTTCTCATTCTATTGTCCAAGCTTAATTATCTATAAATAGCAGTTATGTATATTACAATTCTGTTATTTGCGAAAACGTCAACAACCCACACTCACGTCTCTTGATATATTGCTCCTTTCTTAGTAAATTTAGTTGAAACTTAAAAATATCCTAATACGGAGCATCAGCATTGAACTTTAATTAAAAATCGTGAATTCAGTTTGGCCGTTGACGTAGGAAGACTGGGGTGTCCTCCGATAGCTCCCTCAATTTCCGGGGTCTTTGGCTTCACTTGAACATTAGCCAAATGAGCGAAGTTCCTACTCCATATATATATAGAGCTCACTGGTCAGAACTCGTTGCATTGTGCCCACATTATGATATTGTGTTCTGACAAGAAAGCACCTCTATCAAAAGTACACAGAAATACTGAAATGGTAATTTGCATAAGAGCTGCATCGGTCTATTGCCATGTTTTTGCGATGGTAGACTTTTCGAAAATCCGTCCAGAAGAAGATAAATTCAGACTCTGGGGTTTTTAGTTAGATCATTGTGTTTAGACAATAGCTGCATTTCTTTGAAGAAGATTTAAATGTATTGTAATACAATTTTGTATTGACAAGCCATCCTTTCCTCCCTTCGCTTCTGGAAGTGATGCAAGTGGGCAACTGCTAGGCAACTGTTGCTGCCTTCCTTTTAGTTACAGTGTTCTTATTACCAATTTCAGCAGGAAATTTTTAAAAAGATTGAAAACCTCGAATGAATATATTAAGCTTGAATATAAAAATATCAAACAATTTTGATAGATTGGAGTATAAGACAAGCCGCTATATCGAATTAGCGTAATGTTGAAGTTTCACATTTCCACTGCAGGGAACAGCGTCAGAAGCGACATTGCATAACATTTGTCAAGTATGACAATATAGACCGTCACTGGTTACTGGTTTCGTCTTATCAAATTAACGATCGAAACTTGGTTTTCAATTTTACTTGATATGTAGCTATGGACGTATTTCGACGAATGAGCAAATAAATTGTGTTTATGAAGCCATGCTGCTTTAAGCGGACTCATAATAGACAAATATTACTCCATACCTCATCTGGTTATATAAGACAGCAGACTTCATAATAATGAACATTTGACGTTTCCACCTGTTTGGAAGCTGTTTTGAAATCTGCTTTGATGAAATTTTCTATTTGAATATAAAGGATTTAATTTAAATATCACATTATATTTGATTTTCAATTCCAAAACTATATATATAGATACTTGAACATTTTGTGAGAAATCACACATGCATTACAACTCAGTAGGGAATGAATCACTCGCTCAAGTGGAACGTTCAACAAACTGGTGCTGAATTGATGATCGACAGGGCCGCCAGGTTTTGAATAAACAAAGAAACATTTAGCTATAAGGTAATATTACGCCGGTTTCTTTGATGGCCAATGTAGCAACTTCGTCTTCCGGGTTTTCGCTTACAGGGGGCGAAAACCCGAGGAACGAGTTGTAACCGCTGAGAAAGAATAACGCATGTTGAAAATATTGACTGTCTGGGAAGTTCGTTCTGGGTTAAGTTAAAAGGCGAAATAATATTTCTCCTTTTGCGTTCTCCGTTGCGCCCATCGCAGTATATAAAAAAGATCTAAAAAGATCAAGCTATCTATCTAAATTTTTGTGATTCCCTATTGAATGTTTTTGGAAGTTTTTCGGTTTTACTAAAGGTATTTCATAGCGTAAAATACTGCAAAGTGAATTTAGTTACGAGTTGGATTTCGATATTCTTTGAAATGAAAGAGGACGGAATTAAGCACTCTAAAAGATTGACAAGTAATCTCTATAAATACGCCTTTCATCCCCACGAGCAAATTCTAACAGACCGGCCGTTAAAATAACAGCATGAGAAGTTATACCTGATACCCTATGCCTGTTTCATACATACATAAAATTAAACCCTCGCTATAGTATATTTCTGTTTATATATAGTCCATATAGGTCGATCCATAGTTTTCCTATATACATGCATGTATTGATTTTCTCCCGTCCTACTTGGCAGCTGTCGGATCATGATTTGATAGTATAACAGCGTGCGGCGTAACATCCTAGTGGATGTTAATTTGAAATACATGTCAATGTACGTAGATTAGCTATATATATATTGTTGTTCTCCACGTGAACGCTCCAATGAATCGGAACTTCTAAATAAATAAAACCTGTTATACATTCTATACTATGAACTTTTCGAAATCTATAATATTCTATATCCACCAAGCTAAGTTATGTATTTTATAATATTCTGTAGACCTTTATAATATAGTTCTTTCGTTGGGCTAGCTGGTATCCTCATTGTAGCTTCGAGGCCATAGCGGTCATACCGTGGGTAAAGGTGTTTTGTCAAATATATTACCTCATCACTTGCAAATGTTGCATTGTTTCTGTTTTGTGGCAGAATATAATGTTTAGTATTTGAATGCCGCTGTGAATATCTAGCATAAATTTAAAGAAGAAAATGGAAATTTTATCATTTCTGCTTGGACTAATTTTATTGGTTGAAAGCTCAAGTAAGTTTTCTCCTGTGTATTTTGCGGAGAACCGATACGCGTGTACAAAAATTTTAATGAAACGTATCTTGTGCTATATATACCCAAATACACTAGGTTAGTTAATATTATAGTAAATTAGCTGCTTAGAAATTAAAGAGAAACCATGTTATGTTAAAGGGCTTTTAACACGGAAGGTTTTATATATAAATTACAAAAGTAATAGACAATATATCTGTGAAGGTTTATCGGTAAAGTGAGTTGTTCAATATATACTTAATACTGTTTCGTTAACGTAAAAAAAGTTTTTACCTTTTGCGTTTTTTGTTAGCCTGTTCTGCAAATAAATTTAGGCTTGAAGGAATAATCATTGCATGTTTACTCCAGTAAATTGAGTCATGGACGGATAAACCAAGCCACTAATCCGGTTTGACTTTGTCTCTGACCGCTTTGTTAACCACTGGAATGTATAAATTTCATACGTGTGTGATGAATATGCATGTTCAGTTAAAAAAGTTTCCACTTTCGCGTCGTAGATTTGTCGTACCCTTAACTTGTTATTATAGGAACTTTAGCAGTGGATTAATGCAAGTATAGGACTGTTGCCTTCCTGGTTTTAACGCGATAATTGCTTTATATTTTTGGACCAGGAACTGGTCCCTAACCGCTGCTAATCTTGTTGTTGTTGTTGTTGTTGTTGTTGTTGTTGTTGTTGTTGTTGTTGTTGTTGTTGTTGTTGTTAGGGGGCGATGCTCTTTAAAAAAACCCTAAGGCTCTAGCATTACTTGTTTGATCGGAATGAGACTTGGCACAATTATTCTAAGCAATATTCCGCATCGATTGACAGAGTTCGAATTTTTACTTTTGACCTTTGAAGCAAGTTACAAGCAATTCTTGATATATTTGCAGCAAATAATATATACATATCATTAATATTCAGCCTATATATAAGTAAACGCAAACGATTGGAAATACATTGTCCTCTCCTTTGTTATAAATACAATGCAGTTCAGAAATTAAACTCGGCTATGCAGTTCCTGGACCACTACAGTGTGTCCCAAAAAACCCGAAAACTATTGAGATCACCCATAACAATGCAATTGTTAGAGTTTGAATGTCTAAGCACTCTGTTGGGACCCACAGGTGTATAAATGTTTACCATACTCATTTTTATGCATGCATATGATGCAGTAAAATTTGCTTGTTCGCAAAAATGATATTAATTAACAATATTTACAATTTACAAATATGGATAACAATATTTAAATGTGCATCTCAAGGACCATGACCTTCGACATGTCCCTTTCTCTAGCAACACAAAACATTTAATAAGTTGCATTAAATCCCCACGGGCTGAAATTCGTGAACACGGCATTCAAATTTTAACAATGAGTGATTTCAATAGTTTTCGTTTTTTTTGGGACACCCTGAATAGTACGATCGTACTTGTTTCGCAAGGAGTAATACATGTCACACGATGAAGGAGGCATGCCATAAATCAATGGTTTATCCTCAAAGCAATCCTAAATTATAGCCGGGTAGGAACTAATATATCTAAACCTGTCAATACGTAAAATGTGTAAATTTAACCCACTTTATACCAAAATGTCTTTTTTCTCTTTAGGATCGGACGATAACGTTGGTAAAGGTTCTAATTTAGATATTGTAATGGAACTTCAACAAGCTGAAATATCTGGCATGGGTTCTGGAGACTCCCTGGATAAAATACCTGAATTTAGGGATCGCCAGAGTGAAATAAGATGGAAATTAAACAAAGTCAGAAAACAGTTGAATTCTGCAAAGACGTATTCAAGATTGGCTAGAAGAATGAAGGAGTCTTTGAAGCTGGGAATGGACAAAAACCAAGGAGAAATTGAGAAAATCATTAGAAAAGCAGAAAAGTCCTTAGTTCACACTGGCGAACAAATGGGGCTCGATTATATGCATTTTAAAAGAGAAGCTGAATAGGAGGTTCTGAAATATTTAAGTTAGCTATTTTATCTTTGGTTGGATGCAAAGGAGCGAGTGCTTATAAATACTCCCTAATATGATTACTTTCCAAATCTTTTTAATTCATAACAAAAATCTTATCAATCAGTGCCGGATTACTGAAGGTTTTTCACTGGCCGATAGTTGCTCGTTTCCTCTGAGCTTTCTATAGTTTAGGGGCTGTTTACATGAGCCCGGTTACCCGAGATTCAACGAAGCGTGAGATGCTTTTGAAGTATTGAAATGAGCAGATAGTATGATCCTGGCAGTCGTGTAATCACCACAACAATAGCATGTGCTTGTTTGGTGTAATAAAGACTTATTTCAATACCTCAAAGTCCTCTCACGCTTCGTTGAATCTCGGGTAACCGGGCTCATGTAAACAGCTCCTTAATCAACGTGATGATCAAATAATCTCTGATCGTGAAGAGGAGATCAGACACTTTCATTCAGCCACCTACAAATTATTCGCATTTTTGTGAGTCGTGACAAGCCCATATGAAAATTTTACCCCGGCCCTGGAAGGGTTAATCCGGCGCTGTTATCAGTATAGCGGGAAGTTGCACACAAAATTGCCATCAAAATATTGCAAATGTAAGCGAGCTATGCGAATATTTCATTTAATTACACTCAAAACGGTGTTAAAAACCTTCCTGGAGCCGGTTTTCCATGCACCATAGTGAGGTTTTTGGTGAAAGGCAATACAGTAGTCCCTCGCTGACTCAAACTCCCAAGAGGAAAGGAAAATTGTTCGAGTTACCGGGGGTTCGAGTTAACCGGAGTTGGTGTCAAATTACGTTTATTATAAGTAATACAATAAGGTATAAAATCCAATCGAATCATTCTTCAAGAGATATCATATACCTACCAATATGAATGGTCACCGAGAGTGGACGACGTTTTAAAATTAAAAAGATCGAAAGAATACAAAAGGAACTAAAAAAGCTAGATCAATAACGACCGTGGGACTACAGAAATCTTTTGAAATTTAAAATCAATCATACATCTTCATTAACTTGTTGTTATTTCGATAGTGTCCAGTGAGTTCGAGCATAGACAATCCAAAAGACAGGGACTGGAAACGCTATTGTTTCTTTGCGCGTAATCCGTGATGCGGACAGCACTCAGCAGCGACATCAATGGCGACTTAATTTTAAAGTCAAAAACATTACGCAAGCATTCAAACGAGGTTTTTCGGCTCTGTTTGACCCAATATAGGTTTAAAAACCGGATAAGTGCATCCACAGATTTATATTTGTTCAAAAGATATAAATTAAAAAGCCTGAAGTGCATTGAAACTATAGTTACAGGGTTCGAAATGAGTGCAAATTTTGACAAAAACAATGGCGACTCGGTTTTTACAGTCAAAAATATTACGCAAGCATTGAAAGAGGTTTTTTGGCTCTGTTTGACCCAATATAGGTTTAAAAATCGGTTAAGTGCATCCACATGTTTATCTTTATTAAAAAGATGTAAATGACAAAGCCTGAAGTATACTAAAACTGTAGTTACAGGGTTCGAAGTAAGTACAAACTTTGACAACAACAATGGCGATGTTTTACAGACAAAAACAATACCCAACCACTCGAAGGAGGTTTTTAGCTCTGTTTGACCCAATATGGGTTTAAAAATCAGTTAAGTGCACCCAAAGGTCTATTTTTGTTCAAAAGATGTGAATTACAAAGCCTGAAGTGTATTAAAACTATAGTTACAGGGTTCGAACTGAGTACAAACTTTGACAACAAGAATGGCGACCTTTTTACAGACAAAAACAATACGCAAGCACTCAAAGGGAGTTTTTAGTTCTGTTTGACCCAATATATGCTTAAAATTCGGTTAAGTGCACCCAAGGGTCTATTTTTGTTCAAAAGATGTAAATTAGGAAGCCTGGACTTTATTCAAACTCGAGTTCTAGGGTTCAGAGTAGGGGAAACAGAAATAGCCATTTAGGCGCATCACGGATTGCACGCCAGCATCGCTGCTTTTATCACAGCGTTTCCAGTCCCTGTCTTTTGGATTGTCTATGGTTCGAGTTAGCGGGGGACTTCTGTTCAGGGCTGTCAACTTGAATAATAATTTTGAAACAAATTGCCCATGCAAGAAAAAGGTCACCTCACGAGAAAGGATTTGTTAGTGGAATGTTGTCTTGCATTCTGATTTTTAAAACATCGATTTCTATATTCATAGGCGCAGCTAAGTATAATTGCATGAATTATTTGACTTGCTATACAGCCTGCTTTTAAGAGATGTAAATTTTGCCACTACGAAACGCGTGTGTTTATTACACTCAATGGACGTTTCTTCACATAAACTTTAAAGACTCTTCACTAGTTTACATCGCTTAAAAGTAGAATTATATGGCAAGTAGCAAAAAAATTGTACCGTGTAACAGGGCCTTTAGACAATATTGTAAAAAAGTTAATTATTATGAGGTAGATTTTATTAAAAATATAAAAATTCCATTAAAAATCTAGAAAGCTGTAAAAGAAAAAACCATAAATTCGCAAGTATACGGATCGAGTCGTTCGCCCTAATATCTAAACTATAAATCAACTCCTCATGAAACCACTAAATACTGATGAAATTCACATGTGAATTTATATGGTTATAACAAGTGGAACTTTGGGCGTGTTTGAGAGACATTTAAAATATGATTCAATCATTGTTATAATTACATTCAGCAAAACAGCCATTAGAATGAAAAGTGATTTTAGTGCCTGATTTGACATGAAGAAGTATAGTCATGAACTTCATATAAATATCGATCACTCCTATACCTGCTATAATATCGCGCCCATTGCATATTCATGCACACAAGAAAATGTGTCTTGCGTAGGCCATATTATATATATATAGTAATAACGAGATGTGGACGTGAGTAATGATTCCAGTAGTTTTATGCTCCAATACTATTTCCCTCGCTCACTGATGATTAAAAGGAATTTAAAAACACAAACGTATTGTTGCCAAATATCGCAGGTAAGTTTTATTTATCAAAGCATGGTGGCTATTGTTCATTTCACGGTTGGCCACGCATCGTTGTACGATCTTTGTAATTCCCCGGGAATATCATTTTAGCACTCAAAAAATTAATATAATTTTATTAATTTGGTACGTCGTATTCAAATGAAGATATATAGGGATGTTTTTTAGTTCTTGGATCCCCCTTAAAAAGTTTTGCGATTGGCGTCGTAAATTTTAATTATATAATATACTGATTATAAAATTACCTTTTGCCTGATTATTTTTTTAACCTTTGTTGTTTTTATTGCATACTTCTTTGTTATCTAGAATATTACAACGTATATAATAATAATAATCAATGGGTTTTACTACAAGTGCAGCAACTGCGTGTTTATATGCAAGTAGCTAACTGGAAATTAAGTTGTGCCTAGTTTCCATTCAGTCGTTAGCTGTCGTTACATGTCTTTCCGTGTCTCTGGAATAATCGTGAAAGACCAATAACGACTGAGAGAAACAGAAAACGACAGTGTCGCTCGGATAAAACAAATCCTATCTCAACGACATAAAAAGACAGGAAACGACATGATTCTTCCCATTATTCGTTATCGGTCTTTCACGATTATTCCAAAGACACGCGGAAAGACATGTAACGACAGCTAACGACTGAATGGCAACTAGGCATTATAGAAGTTATAGAAAGTTCTATTTGCATTAATATTTACATCTCTCGATCGAACAATATTAGGTTCTTCTCTCGTTTTTTTTTATGATTACAGAATTAGCTTGGAATGATGTGAGCTGTGATCATGATTGTTAGGCAATTCTAATGACCTTTCCTTTAAATAGCATCTGCGGATCTAATAGTTCACTGCCGAATACCTAAATAGAGCGCCAAATTGGGATATGCTAATTTTATCAAAATCGTCCTCGTAAATCCATTCGGTGCATGGGATAAGAAAGGGTTCTTTTTATTGAAAATGGTCTCAGAAAATCGACTGAGCAGTGTGGTTAACATTTCGACATTATGCAAACCTTTGGCACCTTCAATATTTTCAGGCCTAACCAGCGCACGAGATCGTTTATATCTAAAGATAATATAGTTTTTAGCAAATTAGCCAATTAACATTTGGAGTTCTATTTATTTTAAGCCAATTGGGAGGTTTAATCTTTTCTTGGTATAGTCTGTTCGACGCCTTCCGAATTTCACACAGTGATCTGACTTCATCCATTCCAAATATATACAGCTATGCCTATGTTTCCGGTTTGCACATTTTAGTTTTCTGTGCCTGTGCGGTGACCGCAAGCCGTCTACGTTATTTAAATACGGTCGAATAAGAACGGGGAATAAAACTTCAAGTACACTGCAATTACATGCGCCTTTCATGTTGAACTTGATAATTAATTTGTATCGGAATATCAGCGTGGCACATGCATTTAAAATACCAGTTTAGGTCTACATGTGCAAAAAATTTAGGGATTATTGTCCGAGAATTTTTAGTTATATTAACACATCCGCGTGTTTTAATTTTTTAGAGGACGTTATAATGAGATCCTGTTTTTCTGGCAAATGTGCGTTTATTTTTTTAGGTAAGTAATTTTCTTATAATTGGTATCAGCTGTCACCGGAGACAGTTGGTATCAGCTGTAACTGGAAACAACTCGACTTTTTTAAACAAACGAGAATTGTAAAATACATGCATATATGCAATAAATTAAAATGTCCGACAAAAATGTAGAAGAAGTGGAGAGCAACAACCCTTAGAAAGTTCTCAGCATGCAATGACCAAGGGCACTTTTTTATATCTTTCTCATTTCTGCAAAGACAGTTGATTAGTCAGTAATTACTAAAGGTATCTAAGCTGAAAAATGGGACCACATGCATGTTGGTCTAGTGAAATTAGTATAGTTTAGTGAAAACGTTGAAGAAATTAGTGACTAGAATCTGTTAAAAACGTAGCCAACATTCACCTTATTAACAGTAAAAACCAGTTGTGAAAAAGGCTCAAAACTTAGCAACCAGGCCTTCGCTAAAATAAGCCTTCGCTAAAGGATGCTGTAGACAAATTTAGGATGTAGGATCGAAAGATAGACATTTAGGATGTCGGATCCAGAGACAAGCTGAGGGCCTGTATTTGCACAAATTTGTGCAACATGTGTTTTTTTAACCAGGATAAATAACACCATATACAATTTCCATAGAAATATAAAATGAGTTGAAAGGCAATTGTTTGCACAGCTGACAGCATAGCTCTTTATTTTATATCTAAAAATCAGATAGCAACACTGGGCTATTCAAGTAAATACAGGTTGTGTATATAGAAAATCTGTTTCATGTTGAAACATTGTAATTTTGTCACACAAACTCATCTCGTACAAGCCAATTTTTGCAGTATTTTCATCTTTGCCAATATTCTAGAAAGACTGAGGGTTATAAAAGATGCACTAATGTTTTGCACTATCAGTATTCTTTACAACACAAATAACTTGACGTTTATTTGCGCATACCATATCGCTTTTATACATGGGATATAGTTTTTTTGAGATCGGCATCAATTTCAAGGTGTATTTGCAGTATAATTTTCAAGGCCACCGTTAATGAGGCTTTTAGAACTGAAAAAAGGTCGCTCATTTAAAAGGGAAAAAACTTAATAACCTGGGGTCAAGATCAAACCGATCTTGGCAAGACACAACATTTGGGTACATATGTTGCCATCCATAGAAATATTTTCGAGATCTAACAGCATAAGAATAAAAACAAAAAAGTTAAGATAACCATACCTTTGTGTCTTCGACATTCGAAGAATACGGCCCCAGTGTTTGAGGCGCCATCGAGTATGTTTTCATGTCAAAAACAGAACAAAATTTAATAAATTAATTCCTTTGTCGCCATGTTCCAAGAAACAACAAAATTTACATATTTTTTCGCAAAGCATGATGGTATTTTTAAGCCCAGGTTTCTCAATTTTTAAAAAAATCTGCTCTTAAAGTTTCGATAGAACCAAAAATTGCAGATTGGAGATTATGCGAAAAATGGGGTGTGGAACAGTTCCATTACCTTCCCAAGTTTTCTTGTTTCATGGTATTTAAGTTTCCTTGTTGGCGACATATTGCCGGGTGCACATATCTATGATTTCATAAAGCTATACATTCCATCTATATCAATAACCGATCAAAATATATATTAGGACGCGGTTTTATGCCATCTTTCTACTCCAGATTCTGTTCTTGGTTTGACCATAACCAAATTGGCTAACTTTATTTCTGTGCGATCTAGTTCCTCTGTCTATTCAAATACCGTACGTGCACTCACGCGTGAATGAAGATTACAATTGTTGTGCCAACTTTGTATAAATGTTGTATCATTAAACCTTTCAGTACTTATTTTTCAGCGCTCAGTTATTTGAAACAAATAACGCCTTTGTCCGGAACAGTATCACAGACTGGAGACGGGTTTTTTAAAGTGTTCCAAAATAGTACCATCCTAAAAGAAGAAAGAGTGAAGAATTTTAAGTCAAAGAAACATAGAGCACACATGGTCTCTAAAAGGGCCACAGTTGCAGGCAAAGCACGTGAAAATGACTTGGAACGACAGTCGAGACCGCAGAAACGTCACATTGGACGCAATTTGAAATATAGGTATCGTAAAAGATACAGAAATAACCACGAGGAAAAAGTTAATCCATATTCAACCAGAATTTCCCACAATACCCAAAGGCTTCGACATAACTTTCAAAAGACATTTATTTCAAAAAAATTAAAAAATAATAGAAAAACAAAAATAAAAAACTTGTTTAAAGAAAGAAGTTCAAGAAAGAAAATTTCAATGAGTTTCCCACGAGGAAAAAAGCAAGAAAAGCTGTTTCGAAAAGTGTTGGACCACTCCAAATCAATTGGCGCGTACATGGGATATAAAAATAGATTGAAAAGTCATCACCTACTAACACACAGCATTGTCCACTCGGCGCAAAGATTTCGACTTTTAAAACTGAAAGGAGGGACGAATCATGGTAAGTGTAACACTGAAAATTAAACATTAAACAATGAATATCAGTTGCATTAGCAAAAAATTTCAAATTATTTCAAGTTTGAAGAACACTGTAAAAGTGTCAACTTTTGAAGCTTATTATTAAGGCTTAAAAATGTTGCTCTTTTGTCCTTTTCGCCAATTAGATATTTCATCATTTCATGAATATCATTCATCACAGTGTTAGTTGCTCTCAAGTTAACCAGCGCGATATTGTCACGAGCTTGACTGAAAGTGTGCATGCATGGTGGAGATAGCTATACTGTTATTTTTCCCGAATATACATTTGTTTTCTTGAAGGAAAATATTTTTTCCCTAGTAAATTGAACCATATCTCGCATTGGTTTGTTAATGTGCTCTTGTTTTCAGAACACAGTCGTCAGAATGGGCCGAACAGACTAGACCACAAAGGTATACATAGCGAATTTGCAAGAAGAGGACCTAAAGAAAACAATAAGCATCATTTTTTGCCAGTTGGACGGAAAAAACGTAAAAACCATTTTGAGAGAGGTTTTACAACTCCATTGAAACATCGTGCCAAAATGCGATTTGCCAACCATAAGACAATAATAAACCGCAAGAAAATTTTCCGCAAAAGTAGGAAAAAAGTAGATTTAAAAATATCAAAACCCAACAAAATAAATAAGAGAAGAAAACACATAAAACAAAGATGTCACCAAAATTGTCCTGGCCGAAATTCTAAAGCGAATAAACGCCAGAAGAAATGGTCTTTCATCCAGGGGGACCACGTGGTATCTAGAAGTAAGAAGGGCAAAAGGTACCCATTTTGGCATAAGTGGCTGAGATTTACTTTGTCAAGAAAATACAGCAAAAAGAGGCATTTAAGATGCCGTCTACCTGGAGATTTGTGCAAGAATTTGCGTAATAGACACGGAGATATAAATACCAGAAACAAGATTTATAACAAAAAGAATGAACACGTTAAGAAAACAAGCCGAAAAAAGGACATAAGTACACAAAAAGACGAGCACGGATTATTTAAAACTATGGTAAGAGACATTGCAAAAAACCAACACCGAAACTCGGACAAAAAACCAAGTAAACATAGAATTAAAAGTAAGAATCTATTAAAAAATGAAAATAAAGGTACGAAATCGTTTCATCACAGAAATCATGGACGGTTTCAGCATTCTGAAAAAGTGGACGATAATCACGGTCATGTTTACTGCGAACATAGTAAGAAGATTATTAGAAAAATGATTTATCAAATGAATAAAGCACTACGAAGATCCATGATACTTGCTAAAATTATTGGGAAAAAATTTGGAATCGACGATAAGACGATTGAGGCATTATTAATAAAAGAAGAGGATAAAATATCGAGAAATTTTATCAACGTTAAAAAGAAACATTAAAAGGGCAAATATAAGGAGAAGGCAGCAACAACTGTAAAAATTCGATTCCCTTGACAAGAAAAGAAATGCCTCGTCATGGTTGATAATACTCGATTAAGCAACCAATTTATTTAATTTACCACAATTGAAACAGAGAAAAAGTGTATGTGCAAGGAGTTTTATGGTGTTAAGGTACTCGTGATGCCAAAGGATTAAGCTTTCTTATTCATTTAGAGGCATGTTTATTCATTTTTTAAAAGATATTAAAGTTGGTGGGATAAATAATAACCAATACAATTTTTTTCACGCAAATACATAAGAATACATATGGGAAGCTTTTATTTTCATGTGTAACTTCATGAGTTCACTACTGTAGCTGTACTAAAAGCAATGTTTATCAACTAATAAAATAGATAGCCCAAAAATCTGTTTGTACTCAGTCTTCGACTTCATTATTTACGCGCGCGGTCAGCTATTACTGTCTGTACTAGAAATACATGCATGCAGCAACCCCTAGCCTTGGTTGAACGAGATTAGTTAAGTGTAGCGATGGTAACATGATTGTTAGAAAATTTATGTGGGTTGGGGGTTTTGGTATGGGCTTTGGAGGGTGCAGGGTATTTGAGAAATAAAAATTGAGAAAAGTATGGAAATATTTTTCTGCACGTGGAAACACTGTAGTCATAGCAACTCGCAACCACAGAGAGAGATTGACAGAGAGGCTACTCGCGGCTCCACGCGTCCCCACTTTTTCACTCGCACGCGCTAGTAAGCGTTTACACCCGATTCCCTTCTGGTAAGCTCCGAGCACATTTTTAATAAAGAAGAATGGAATTTTTGCCAGTAAAAATGCAATTTAAAAAAATTTAACCGCTTTGGCTAAAATTTTCCAAACGTTTTTTGTAGTGTAAAGTAAGAGCTAAAATATATTTTCTTTAGAAAGCCCAGGGATAATATGCTTGCTGAAAATTTGATCAAAAAAGTTTGAAAAATGACTGAAAAAGTATGTAATCGAAAAGCAACAAAAGAAAACGATTACTGCATGCTTTTCGTTATTTCAGTGCAAATATCTTTATTTTTATTAATGATTTTCCAACAGTATACTTTTTTCCTGCTTTGGAAAATAAATGAAGAAAACCGCAACCGTCAACTTGTGTCATTGCTTCTACGAAAACGCTCATATTTTTTAAGGAAGTTAAAAATAATTAAGCGAAAAAGGTTGGCAAGAAGAAAAAGACAATTTTGGTTCAAGCCAGGAAGGACAGACCAATGGTGGGAAAATATTCTTGGACGTAAAATGATGATGAACAGTGGGTAAAAAACTTTCGAATGACCCGTGAAGAATTTTTCGAACTTGTTCATGAGCTTCGGCCATATATCGCCCCCGAAGAGTCATCACCGAACTACAGAGCCTTAACAGCTGAAAAAAGGCTGGCTGTTGCTCTGTATTACCTCAAAGATACTGGGTCTTTGGTCATGACAGCAAATACATTCGGAATTGCGATATCTACAGCTTCAAACATTATTTTTCAAGTATGCCAGACAATCTCAAATGTTCTTGGACCAAAGCACATTAGCTTACCCAAAACCACCAGTGAGATGAAACAGAAAGTGTCTGAATTTGAGGCAAAGTTTGGAATGCCGCAGGCATTTGGATCATTACCAGAAATTTGCGACCTGATAATTTGCATGTATACTAATTTGCATTTAACTTTCATCTAAATCTTTCTCTCCAGCCCCTCCTTGTTAATCTGGAATAAAACTGTTGGCATCTACCCCAAAGGAGAGAGGTGTAACTCCAGCACAGCCACCCCATAAGGAAACAAGTCATTCATAATGCTCAAAGACAATCTTTCCGCTGCCACTTCTTTTCCCAGTTGTGACAGCGTTTGAAAAGGACTGACGAATCTCTTTTACCTTAAAGATTTACATAAAAAAACATTACAGTTCAAATTACATTGCGCAAAAGATTAATCGGCCATTGCATATATCAGACTTATCAGTTGAGGTATTGTACCTTCACTACCTTGAGTATAAAAAGTAAAAACTCACAGAAGCAACATTAACTCGTAATACTTTACCTTTTCTTTTATTCGAGAATAGCCCTTCTTTATAGCTTCTTTGTCCTTCGCGACTTGGACTTTGTATTCGAGTTTTTGCTCTTCATCCATATCAGCGACAAGAATAGTTGGAGAATACATGCTCACAGGACAAAAAAGGTTGTCATTTTCATGGACACGTGCTAATCCTTCTCGTAACCAAGTATATTGAACAGTTCTATCGCCGTCAAAATCAAGGTTTTTATACTCCACAACACTCTTGAACTTATGTAGAGATGTTATTAAGTTTTCTATCATTTCATCGGTCCAACGAAATTGCTTTTTCTCATTCGCACTATCGACAATTTTTGTGCCCGAACTCACATTTCCTTTTCTCACCGCCATTGCTGAAATTTCAAATTTGACTCCTTCAGCGCATGTGTATTCGTCAAATCTGTAGCCCAATGGGGAGGGCTAGCCCTTCCTGCTGCGTTTATATGGAAAATTTCCAGCCCTACCAGGCGAGATCTCGAGACGTCAATAGCGAGATCTCGCCTGGTAGGGCTGGCCCTCCTCTCATGTAAACGTAATTGTTGTTTAGTATGGATTTATATTAGCACGCGCGAACTCGCTTGGTAGGGCTAGCTCTCCCTGTAGGGCTCATGTAAACAGCCCCTAATTTAGTAAAAATACATATATTTCATATTCATGAAAACATAAATTTGTAAATTTCATCAAAATTTTGCTAAATGACAGTTCATTGACGTTTGAAAATACAAATTTTTGTCTCGACCAATCAAGAGCTTAGTAATTCACACTGGCGCATGGGCATAACGTAGACGTCCGTCCTTGGCGCGAGGTCCATTGCATAATGGCGGACGACTTTGATTTCGCATTTGCACATCGTGGGTGTAAATATCCGAGCGGAATTAGTACCCTCGCACGGTGCTCCGCACCGGCTCGGGGATTGGATTACATGCTAAGCTATATGCAATATTAATATTTTGTTGGCCCTCCTTTGGACTTATAGTTGATGACGGCCTTACACCGGCGTGGTATACTTTCTGTTAAGGTGTTAATCTTCGCGGTCAGAAGAAATTCATCCTATGGACAGTCTTTAATAGACGTTTTATAAATGAATTCCTTTCTTGTACTATCCCCTTGACATTGTGCAGGCCAATCCATTTCTGTCACTCCCTCTTCCTGAAACCATTGTTTGACTATATTATTATTATTATTATTATTATTTAAAATAACACATAAAGTAGCTTAGACAGCTAAATTGCAATGTGATTAATTTACAGGTTCATAAATATAACTTAAAAAATATTACATTTTAGAATTACAATAATTCATACTCTAATCTATATTACAAAGCTAGAAGTAAATTACAAAAGCTATATTTTAAATATTAAGAAACTAACTAGAAATACATTGCATGCAAAGTCCCCTCGCCTGAAGCAATAAACTTATATTTCTATCACTGAAATTCTATAATACTCGCGGTTTCTGCTGAATGATCGAAGCCGTGTAAGTAAAATCCTATATCTTGGTACAATTATAAAGTTGACTCTCGAGCTATCACATTCAACTATAATCGTAATTCATTATAAATTGTGCTACGAATAGTTTTAAATACTACAACTTTTAGCGAGATTTCAATTCCTTTTTAAACAGATTGACCTTTAAAAATAAATGCTTTCCCAATCAAAATCATGCATTTTAACGAAATTGACGAATAAATTCAAAGAGGTGCCGTACATTTGTTGACAAATCTACAAGTTAAACTTACGAAATACTTGCATGCTCTAAAATACAAAATCTACCTATTTACCTGTCCAAAAACACTTCGAAAATGCTTTAAAATCGTAGATTTTTCACCATCTATTTGAATCAAAGTTTTTCTATCCGAAAGCATCATCTACTTTACGTTTTAATCATTTTTACGAGTGAATTTTTCCGTATATTTTCAAAACCATCCAAATGAAAAATATTTTTTAAAAAGTTTTGTAATTCAAAATATCAGTTATATGCTGACGCGAACCAAAATTTTAATTTAGCCAATCGCACGCTTGCAAACGTTTGCTGGTTACCAGTTTTAACTCATCTTAAGCTCACGCATGCGCATAACTTACAAAAACGCCCAACGTCCATGACATAATAGTGAGCTTAAGCATGCGACGTTTTTGTCAACACGGACGTCACGCGTACAAAATTTAACGGCTAAAAATGGCGCCAGCCGTTCTTGCTTAAAATCTACGACGGGAAACTGCACGGACTGCGGTTTCTGATTTTAAACAAAAACGGCTGACGCCATCTATAACGCCAAAATTTTGTACGCGTGACGTCCGTGTTGGCAAAAACGTCGCATGCTTAAGCTCTCTAATTACTCTTTCCGAAGTTCAAACGAAGACTGGTGCCGAGTTTTCCCCCTATAGAATTATGGGGCTGAATATGGGACGCGGGAAAATGTAAATTTTTCAAATTCAATTTACATTTGTAAAAGTTTATTTACTTAAATGTAAACAAATATGGACTTATTAAGGTCAAATTCGGGTGATTTAGCACTCGAAGAAGAAGACATACCAGGTGCAAAACTTCAAAAACCCGTGGAACAATGTACAGTTGCAGTTTTGAAGCGGTGGTTATCATGCCGTGGTGCGAAAGTCACGGGGAAGCGAGAAGAGTTAGTGAAAAGGTTTGTTCTAGACTGACTTGCGGTTCCAAGGTTTTTTAAATCGATAACTTTTATTTGATATGTGCATGGGAGAGAAGCTTTATTTTTTAATCCCTCCTAAATAAATATAAAATTTTACAAGAATTGCTTCTCCTAAGATATAAGAAACGATGTGAATTCATGCATTATTCGTAATATTTGATATGTGATTTTCTCTTAAGTTGTTTTGTTTAAACTTCAACTTTTCATATTTTATTTATATTGTCCTGTTTTCTTTAAAAAACAGGGTCAATGATTACATTAAAAACGGACTACACAAAAAGTTAGTGGATCCAGATGGTGGTGTAAATTTGGCAAAGAAAAGAGTAGAGTTTGGCCTTGCTGAAGAAGTACACCCTCTAGAGAATGAAAATTTCCCTTCCTCTGGGTTTGAGTGTGGAACAGTCAATCTCCCAAGAATTTCTTATCGCAACATTTGGAAGTACTTGATAGAAGATGTCGAACTAAAAAAGCAGTTGTCCACAGAAAAGCCTATTGTTAAGGGCTACAATTTTTATAAATCTGGCCATGTACTACAGATTTTCTCCAAAAAAGAAGACAATAATCACTACGTTTTAAGCAAGGTTCGTCCATCAATGAAAAAGGGAAAGGTACACAGTAAAGATTATCTTTTCGTTGAATGGCGATA